GGGGTAAATGTCCGGGGGGTAATTGTATGGGGGTAATTGTCCGGGGGGTGATTGTCCGGGAGGTATTTGTCCTGATACCGTCACGTGCATAGCAACGGTTGCTGCGTCTCAACAAACCGCCTGACTCGCGCGATCGCTGTTTGAAAGTCATAGACGTAAGGATTCTATTCCGAGTACTTCGAGTTCTTGGTCAGAGTTTTTAGGAGATGGTGCTACTAGCTACAGGGAAGAGTGGAGGAAATATGTTATTGACTGTGTAGAAGGTAAGAAACTGGTATACCTACAAATGAGCAGTGTCCTCGGAACAGGGAACACTACTTGATACATGTAAATCTGTGCATCACTACCTGATACACGTAAATCTGTGCATCACTAAAGGTGCCTGTATGAAATTTGCACGACAACCTGTATTGCTATTAGTATTAGTATTACTACTACTACTATCCCAAGTTACTTATAGGCCTAGTTATATTACTATAAGTTATAGTCTAACACTAGCAAGACCGTTTCTTGGAGCTAACTCGTAGTAGAAGGAAAGTTAGTACATTCCCAGATTCCTATTATTAAGATTAGGAACTACAGTAATATTGTCAAGCCGTGAACACTGAATATGCAGTTTATTAGTTGTACTAGCCGACCAGTCTTAGTTATGTGATATTTTATTGGAGCTATATGATTGTATTACTATTAGATCTACTGTAGTAGTAGGATAGCCCTCGACTCGACATGCGGCAACAAGTCGCTGTCTATGGTACTAGAACTATGATTGTATGTACTTTAAACATTGCAGCAAGCAGAATAACAGGAGAGATATTCAAGACACTGAGCAAGTCTGACCTGTTGGAACTGTTTCCTGGGAGAGAATCTTCTTTCCCCGGAAGAAGTTATTTGCAGTCATCCAGGAATACTCAAGAGAAAAATCAACGCAGGACGAGGATCACGCCGCTTCTTGCTGACTCCTTCCTGACTACAGAACACACAACGCAAGACGAGGAACACGCCGCGTGCTCTAGCTGCTGGTGGCGTGCCCGCCCTGCTAGCTGATCATGTAGAGTGTAGCCGATTAGCTAAGCAATGCTCACTACTGTATTCAGGCCTTCAGCACAAAGTAACGTATGATCACGGAGTGTGTTTTATTTGCCGCTGACCTGATGGTTAACGGTGTGTAATAAAAAAAAGGCATACCCGGTGTGAACACCGTTACGTTGTCGTTGCGTCTTATGAGTTGCGTGTGGATTCCGTTAGTCCAGTGGTCGTTCCTGTCAAGGAATTATACCCGGGCCGAACATCAGGCCCGGGATAACGTCTTGTCGGCAAAAAGGCAAGTTCGTTACACATGTTTATAAACATTGACGTCATATGCACACATGCGGCATATGCGCAGTTTAACGGTTGGTAGCAAGCAGATACGTGATATTGTTCGACACGAACGCACGCACGCACGTACGCACGCACGCACGCACACACGCACGCACGCAGCACGCACGTGTACGTGCACTACATAAACAACGCTTTCTATCAGAACATGTGGTCATTCATCTGTAAATGTCAAGCAGCACGCTTCGCTTTTGCCAACCACAACACATAACAAGTACACGTGACCTAATCTATGACGTCACGTGAAACATCGCTATTAGGCCTGCGCGATGGCGTGTGCATATGTTTGCTAGTGAATTAGACCCGCTAAAATTCGAGACTGTTCGCTGGCAGCAATTGAACCGTGCGCCGGCCTTTCGATTTGGCGCACGGATCAATAGCTGCCAGCGCGTGATACTTTCGTAGGACGTTCCCGCGGTCGCGTGCGCCTTGCCGCGGAACTGCGCGCAAGATCAGCGCTTAGCGGGCAGGATCAACACCTCTCAGGCGACGCTTCTCTGGTATCCGGTCTCTCATCTGGATATAAACCTGGATAACTCAGGTGTAACTTTAAGCTGAGTTAAAGTTGTCATTAATTAAGCTTGCCTCTTGACATCTTGAAGTATTATAAGAGACATCTTAAGTGCTGATCTAGCCTTATATGTATAAGTGCTGTTGTCATAAGTATGTATGAACAAACGCGTGATACTTTCACTTTTGTTATCTATTTTATTTGACAGTATTATCCATGTTGAAATTATGTATTTCACAGGATATTACCGGGATGTAACAACGTTCCCATTGATCGCAATAAAGGGCATCTATCTCGAATCTCAAGCCTGGGTTTGCGTGTTGCTTCCCGTGTGCGTCAATAGCGCTGCACCCAGCTGGCCGCGGTCCCCTAACCGCGTTCACAAGCTATGACCCTGGACATATCTGTCGTAATGTTAACGAAATAGATAGCTGACCTGCTCTAGAGCTCGAACCCCCCATGCACCACTACTGTATATTATACAGGTTCATATCGAGGGAAGTAGGAAACACACATTCGAAGCACTCATATGCTTATGCATATTCATTCACGCGCGCTCATAAGGTACTACAACGTTACTCAATGCAACTAAATACAGACGTCTTCGCACCAATAAATGTTCATATCATCAATTAAATGCCAAGGATAAATGCCAAAGTCTACTTGAAATATCTCCGCAAGAATGAAGGATAATACATTTGAGTACTCTAAGTGGAGATTCTTAATGGATTTTCAATGTATGTCGTCACTAAATCTGTAGTACAGACATTCGGACCCGCCTGACCAATATGAATCGAATATCATCAAGAGTGACATAATATAGATCAATACCGTACGGACCATAATCTCTATTATGCTACTCTTGTAAAACATTGACCGTACTCACTAGTTTGCTAACGCTCCATTAGGGGTGTTCAACTTTGATATCATTAATGATTAATGATTACATGATTCATGATTAATGATTGATAATCCCTTACCCTAACCCATAACCCTAAACCTTAAATGACATTAACCAACAAACTAATATATATATATCAATTATTGTTATTATGACCATTAATGCATTAAGTTGGAACACTCCTAATGGAGTATCACCGGTCACGGAGGACATCCCTGCCGATTAACGATATGTAGATGATCGCACGAACGTCAACCCGAAGCAACGGGCTCAAATGTAAATATTTATACAAATTGCAGTAATAGCTGACCTAAATCACTGAACGTGAGAGTGGGCACGCTCAGGAACCCTAGCAGCGCTCCCGCAAACGGACCACGCTTGCGGAATTAAAATGCTCCATGAGGGGGGCGCGGATAGCATTCCCGAAGAGGGCCGTGACCCGAGGGGTGGGCCGAGGAACCCGCGGCACTGCAAGGACGCATACCGCTGTGGGTGTGGGCGGTGGGTCTCCTCCGTCCCCTGAGTTGAGCGAAGCCTTTTTGCGCTCCCCACTCTGTTCAACTTTCTCCTTCTACCCGTGCGCTCCTTCTCGACTTTCTGCCTCCGTCTCTCTCTCTCGTGCTCCTTACCCTGCTTCTCTTGCACTCTTCTTGCCTATAACTCCCTCCCTCTCCTCCCTCCGTCCGCTCCCTAACTCTCCCGCTCCGCCTCCTTCTCCCCTCCCTCCCCTCCCTCCACCTCCGCCCGACGTACACAGCCGACTCACCGCGACACTGGCGGGCGGAGCGAACCCGCGGCGCTGCCACGGACGCGTTACCTCCCCTCCCTCACCTCCACCTGCCTCCCCTCTCCTTCTCCTTCCCTCCTCTCCTGTCCCCCTCCGCCCCTCCTCCACCTTCCCCGACGTAACACACTGACTCAGGTCAGCAACATATTTTGCAGTGTGATCATTTTTAAACAACAAAAACCAAGGATATCCACTTTAAAACTAAATTTCTAGTATGATTCTTATAATGAATATCCAT